ATATGACTGGGAAACAAAAAGACAAAATCATTCTAAAGAGAACTAAAAAAAAAAAAAGAGAGAGAAAAGGGAATGATGCTGTCGAAGGCCAGCCTGCACGGAAAGGTTTTTTGAGGCTTTAAATGACCCTTGGGGCTCCATGTGAGGCAAGAAAAGGAGGAGAGCAGTTTTCCTGGCAGCCACTTCAGATGTGACTCAAGTTGTTTATAAAAATCAAAAAATCTGCCAGGGATGTAGCTTAGTGGCACAAGCACCCGTCTGGCAAGCACAAGGTCCCGAGTTCAATTCCCAGTCCCCCCCAAAAAATTAAAATAAAATATCTTTCAGAAAGTGAAACTAGGTATTGGGCAGGCCAAATAGCTCAGTGGACTAAAGCGCCTGCTTAGGCAGATGCAGCAGCTTGGGTTCAATCCCCAGAATGTCATGCCAGCCCCGCCCCCAGGGCATGCTGAGACAGGCGTGGTGGTGCACACCTGTAATCCCAGCACTTAGGAGGCTGAAAACAAGAGGATCACTGTGAGTCCAATCTGTGTAGTGAGACCCTGTACTAAATACATGTTTTTTAAAAATTAGGTATCTTCTGAAACCAATTAGGAGGACCTTTCTCCCAGGAGTATGGGCTGGAGTGTAACTGAGGCTGATTCCTTGTTAAGGGGAGGTTCAAAGTATGGGATTTCTCGATTGCCACACTCGGCGCTGTGTGCCTCTGCACTTATTTGTCTGCTGAGGGCAAGCACTTATCCTACCTCAATTCTAACAATACATACATTTTGCCCAGAGGACAAATGACTTCTGAATTCCTGGCTTGCACAGGAATGTGGAGCTGTGTTTGGATGAGACAGGGAGGCCTCTACAGGACAGAGGCAGCTGACAGCCCTTGGGACAGAGAAGCATTCTGTGGGCAGAAAGGAAAGTGAGCCAGGTCTGGTAACCCGAGAGGAGTCGCTGGTGGCATTATCTTTGATTTCTGGTGTGTCCCTCAGACACAAGGGCCGCATGTCCATGTCCAGATGAAGTTAGACCAGCTGCGATTTCTCTGGACAGGAAACGCGTGCTTTCAAGACCCTCCCCACGGACCCTGTTCCCTTCCTTCTCTCATGCTACACAGGAGGATTCTCTGCAGCCCAGGATCTGGGTGAGGACAAAGTGAAGCTGACGCCTCACTGGCCTGGAATGATGGGGCGTGACAGACGGGCCTCTGACTGGGACCCGCTAGCAGGAGCTCCACAGCCGCAGACAGAGAGGTAGAGAAGAAACCGTGCTCCGGTGTGCAAAGATCTCCCAACACGCACCGCGATTCTCCCGGGCCTCTGCCACTTTCTTACACCCTGACTTCACACGATGCTCTTCAGCAAACAGCCCCTAAGTCTTTGTGGTGTAACGAGTTCAAGCTGGGTATTTCCAACCCCAGAAGTTGTGATGAATATAGGCACAGACCCATCAAGCTTGGCATCCCAAAGACCAAGGAAAAGATGAGATGGAAAGAAGGGGCCCTGGGCCAAGTGGGATGAGTCGAAGGCTGCGCTCAGCCCTCCACTCCCTCCTCTTCCTACCCCACGGCTGGACGGGCTTTCTCAGCCTTTTCTGTCACTGGCTGGAGGGGAGTGGCTGAACCGAGCACGGGAACTGGGGTCTGGATTGGAAACCACACCCAGCGGGTTCCATCAGTCCACTGTGGTCCTCGCAGACCTTTCTCCCTGACTGGGACCCCCAAGATCTGAGTGATATAGGAGAGCTGTCCCCATTGTACGGAGGGCATGGCAAGGCTCAGAGAGGGCCAGTGATAACGCTTGCGGCCCAGCCACTGCCCTCAACACAACAGACCTCCCGATTCCCAGAGCCACGTCGGTATCCTGGGTAGTGAATGGTGGCGACGCCGCAGCCTGACACAGCGTAGCGGATGTAACCAGATTATAAAATGATGGTAAGAATGACCTGCCCCAGCGAATGCAGCACCCCATCTATCTCTTCGTGCCTGGATCTCAGCCAAGAACTCAGCACAAAGAGGACCTTTCCTAACATTTAGCTTGAGTGAGGCAGGAAGTCTTAAATTGATGCCACATGACAAAAGCCAGCAAAAAAGACGCTGCACACAGCTTTTATAGGATTCCATCAAATGTCATTTATTTAAATAAAATTCAGTTGGAGTTGTAGGTAAACTGTTTAGAGCGATATGAAAATACACACCTGAAAACATTCTGGCAACTTAAGCATGTATTTAATAATGCAAAGTATCCTGTATTGCCAGGAAATGAAATAGAAAACATGTTGACTTCCACATTGGGATGATTTATTTGTACTCCAAATACAACTTCTAAGATGACATCTGTTTCCAAAAACATATAAACAATAAAAATAGGCTACAGGAATAGTTACATTCTTAGGTCAGCATGAACTTACAAATCATAGGTGATAACATTAACTCAAAGTCAGCAAAAAATATTCACCGGAAACACAATTTTTATATTAAAAACCTCACCAGTTCACAGTTTCTTTCTTCCTCATCTGTATTGATGAGATGCTTCTATACCTGCAATCTCTTTCACTGTCTGGTACTGTAACAACTGCCTATGTCACTAACGCATTCATTTTACACAGAACTCACACACTCTCAATTTGTAAAACTATTTTTGTTCTCTGAAACTGTGACTGCTGAAAGTTAGAAAGCTAGGAGACTAATCTCAAATGTAATGAGAAGAGAGATAAGACGCACAAATCATAGTAAGAGAATACTGAGCCATGAGGTACACACAGGTGGCCCTGAGGACGCAGTGGGTCACCTCACACTCAGAAAATACAGAGGCCTCCAACTTTTTTTCTCCAGACAAAAGCAAAAGCAAATATCACCAAACAATTTCAAAGTCCTCCCACATGTGGTATTAACATTGGGGTTTTGGGGTGGCCACATTACAAGACAGGTTTACTCATTGTTTTTGAGACAAAGTTTTCTAAGTGAATGCCTACAAAATAAATTTGTTTTGGAAATAAATTTCAGTAATAAAATAATAATTCTCACTTATTAAATATATACATTTGCCTTTATATACAATTTAGCAACTTGCATCAAAAATTTAACTATTCTATGAATATTTGCAAAAAGATATTTTAAAATATTAATATATAAATGAATCAGTTGATATTCAGTCAGCTGTTACTACCAGTCAGCAAAGTGAAAAAATTAAGAATAAATTAATTACAGAATTTCCAAAAGATGAGAATGCAACATATTGTTGAGAATTAAATAATTTTTCTGGACAGCACACATCAGTGAAATCCACGTGTCGCCCTTCTGCAAACCTCAGTTAAACAGAACCAACAGTTCTGCTTTCCTAGGCCTTTACGTCTAACACCAACCTAAGATTTAATGTTTACCATAATCTCTCTTTCCATGTAAATTTAAAAAGAAAATACATATTCTATACAAAGCAACTCTCCACCATGAAGAATAAATCACTTCAGGTAGAAAAGTAACAGTGAAAATTACTTAAAATCACTTACTTCACTATCATCCAAACTGTTACTTGGACAATTGGTGCCATTAAAGATACGAATGAATGAAAACGTACACTGGCCAAGGCAGAAAGTGTCGTACCTTCAAATTTCAAAATAATATTATTCCTATGAAAATGAAATTAAGAGCCAGAGAGATAGCTCAGTGGTGTAAGCACCTGCCTGGCAAGTGCAAGGTCCTGAGTTTAATCCCCAGTACGGGGGGGGGGGGGGGGACGACGACACAGTAATTTTCTTTAGTATGTGCATTTATTCGATTTCTCTGGCTATCAGTTCTGTTACACTAAGTCCAACTTCTTTTTTCTCTTTTTTTCCCCGAATGGTACCCAAAAGACTACCAATAATTAAAATCAATTTGTTAGAAAACATTTAAGTACCAATAAAAGAAAAGCCCACAGTGGAATATGCCAGAAACCCATAAATCCATCATTTAAATTACGTTTTTAAGATCGCTTGGATTAGCATACAAGGCGTATTACACATTAATATTCAACCACTATCACGTTTGGTGTTAGCGTACCTTGATTTGTCCCTCTAAGTCTGCAATCTGGGGCCCTCTTCTGAGTTAAACACGGAGGCACCTGCTGTCTCTGTGTGTGCAAAGCTCTGCTGCACTGCTACAGGCTGGAGGCTCGCCGTGGGGAGCAGCTCACACCTCAGCGCAAGCTCGGCCCGTGTGCCCCGGTTGGTTTCAGCAGCAGTGAAGCTTTCAGCGCTTTTGGTGGCAGCCAGCAGCCTGCTGCAGCGTGTGAGCCATGAGCAGGTCACCAGCACTGGCCTCGGCCAGGACCTGCTTAGCCACCTCAACAGCTGACCAGTTATAACCTTTCTGTGGCCAGGAAGTTTCGGCAACAGACTGGAATGAACTCCATCCATTTTTTCCTAAGAAGGTTTACTATTAAGACCTCATAGAACCGCTCCACACAGAAGACATTTTTCCTCATAACGCAGTCTGAGGTGCCCTTGTTGCTACACTTTGAGCTTAACATTCCCAAGGAACTACACTTGACAGCTGGAAGACAAAACTTCCAATGAGGGACGGGAACAGGGTTCAGCAAGCAATGCAGTACTTCAAAAAGAAAAACATCACTGGGCCAGGGGAGGGAGACGCTGACAAAAGCCTGCATTCTGGATGGAACAGTGTAACTACAACGGGGTCTGTTTAATACCAGTAAGTTGTCTCGTGTGCATTTATAAATGGATCGATACATGTATCTAATCAAGATACGCCTAAAAAAAATTAAAGCACAGTATGTCTTCGGTATATTCATGCATGTCACTTAGGTATCACACATTTTAAAAGAATAATAAGCAGCCAAAGGCATAAAATATATAACTTTGAATAAATCATTGCTACATTCTCTAAGTGGACAAGTTGTGTCTAAAAATCACTGAACAGTAATATTGGGCTAATTGAGATTTAACATTAAAACATTGATATACAGGGACCAAAAGGTTTTACTAATTTTTCAGAATATTATTTTAGAAGTTTTTAATCAATGAAATCTAATAGTTCAAAAGTGAATCACTCATCTACAATCCTAACAGCTGTAGTTTGTGAAAAAGCAAGCAATGTCTAGAAAATCAGATTAAATAGCAAGCACCAAAGTAAGGATTTTGAGTGTGGTACACAAGGAGATCAGTGAGGGAAGAGGTGGGTACAACTAATATTTAAACATTCCTGTGAGAGCCAGGCAAGTACAAGGTCCTCAGTTTGATTCCCGGTACCAAAATCAAACCAGTAAACACGCCAGTGAGCTTAGTCATCCACAGAATGAACGTGATGGCCTGAAAGAATAAGGGCACTTAAACAGAAAAGGCGAACTCCACAGACAGATACTAGGAACTCAACTCATGGCAACAGACTGCAGGTCAACACCAGGACGCTGGGAGGCAGGACCCTAGAAGCCCCATAGCGCTCACAAAGACGGCAGCCTTGGCATTCCCCATCGCCTCATGCCCACTCGCTGTCTTGGTGCTACACAGGCACAGGGAGGGCACTTCACTGAACAGGACAAAAAGAGAACCAACACTATCTAGACTCTCAAAAGGTCAAGGTTATTTCCTAAGATCCATGCCAGGCCTGATGAATCACAAAATCATTTCAAATAAGTGTATTTGAACTTATGATTTATGAACAGTACATCTTAGGGACAAAAAAACAAAAACAAAAAAAAAAAAAAAACAGAAATAGCAAAAAGTAAATCAATGGAGCATTAATCAGAGTAACATCCGAATGTTTTCAACTGTCACAAAGACCCGGGTTCAATGATTACTTTTGCCATCCAAGGTGGACGCGCCTGCTGCTCACCAGCACAAACATCTGCGGTCCATAGGGATGGGCGAGACGCGGAGTCCCCACAAGCTTTACTACACAGACTGCTAGTGCCTCACACATGCAGCAGCAGAGAAGCAGCATTCATTTTGGTTTGCAGGGGGCATGTCCTTCTTTGGGCGTCACCCCACCGATTTGAAGCTCTTATCAACCAATCGCAGCAGGATTGCATATTCACCTGCCTGCGCCCTGGGCGGAGCGACAACCGCACAGCACACTAACCCGTCCTGACCAGCGCTGATGGAACTGCCGGCCTGTGCCAAGCCGAACACTCAGCCTCGCACTGGCTAACCTGGGACTCTCCTCCCTGCAGCCTCTGTCCGCTTGTCCCTTCTCGGCCTCCTGCAGTGTGTTCTGGTTGTCAGTGCTCGGGGTCGACCTCAGGCCTCATGCCTGTGAAGCAAGTGCTCCATCCTTGAGACATACACAGCAAGAGCTGACACAGCACCGGGGAAGGCCCTGTCTCAAAATCGCATCCATGAGAGCTGGGGACTGGCTGGTAGCCACAGACCTGCTCACCCAGGGTGCTTGAGTCCTGGCTCAGGTCAGTGCTGGCAGAAAGGCGATATTCCTTTCCTCTGCTGTCAAGTGAGAGCTGCCACGCCTACCTCGCCTGCCTCCTCCCCAGCTACCAAGCGAAGCACGACCTTCACTGACATTAGCAGAGCTCCATCAGAACACGGACTTGCCACTGAAAAATAAATTAAGGCAACGATGCCAGGAACTGCACAAACTGCACTGCCAGATGCTCCAGCAAACCAACGCATCATGCAGGCCCCAGAAAGATTAGGCCAAGTGTGGCCCGCTCGGCGCTCACCTTCACACAGCAACTGAGATCACAAGCAGGAGTCTGAAGTGCAGGGAGAGCTGATGTCACAAGAAATGGTGCCAGCACAGCATGTGACCATAGCAACAGACATAAACATTCATAGCACGAATGCTATTACAGTACTCATAAATCCCCGGCAGATTACAGATTTTCCACAACACCAGGAAACTATAAAAATAGGAAGCAATAATAAAAACAAAATAAAAATTTTAGTCATACAGATTAATTTTTTGTTTGATTATGTCAAGTCACTGACCAGCAAGTCAAGTCTTTTAACCATTTAGCTTTAAATGGTTTCATTTTTTTTTACTATCCACTCCAAGTAAAAAAAAATGTGTATATAACAGCACAGACATTTCTGCCTTAAAAAATAAAACTACCAAAGTTCTTCTAAATAATTTATACTTTTTCCAAAGTTGCACACAAAATAATTATTGAACATATATTCCACACATATCAATTCCATACTAATCACTCACATACAATGACACTCGATTTATCTCCTCTTGTGTCTGTGCCCCAAGTTCTGTAACCTGCGCTAAGTGCACGTGTTGGGCCGTCACCAGGCCACTGCGGGACAGCACGCCAGCTCCACCTGCATTAACATCTTCCACAGGAAACACTTCCTCGGTTGGACCAAGAATCAGTAACTTACAGGAAGCAGCAGAAGCGACTGCTGGGCATGGCAAGGAGCAAGCTCATCAGCTGGGGAGCTGGCAGGGCCAAGTACGTGAGCAGGCTTAAAGGTGCTCATGCTTCTATACTTCTTCCACTGAAAGGAAGAGATTATAGATTCAGCCAGTAACGTATGTTCCTACTAGAACCCATGCACAAAAAACCATAATCAGTACAAGACTGCTCGTACTCTGTAGCGCGTGTAGGGTGCGCGTCGCTGAACAGAGAGCCCTTATGAGCACCATGCGGCACCTCGCTAGCCCCACTCAGAAAACCGAGCGCCGAAAGGTGAGTCACTACCCACAGGGAGGTGCTTCGGACCCCTCCCAGGAGCTTGGGGCTCTTGCTGCAAACACTGAGAGGCCTCCGAGACAACGTGGGAGACTCGGCTTCAGAACAGCAGAGAGCTCACAGAAGCAGAACGGGAGGGCCGCTCCGTGACTCCCTCCTTGCAGGTGCAGGCTGGGCCGTAGCGGCAACATGCACACGTGAAGGTGGCGGGAATGGTGGAGGCTACTGACAAAGTGAAGCTCGCTTGCGGCCGGAAGGGTCTGAATTACACACTCAATGCGGTCTGTTGAAAATGCAGACCTGCTGTACATACCCGCAGTTAGGAAACTAGGAGAGCCCTGGAAAGCCACCGAAGGCCACCTGTTCTTCTCCACCCCACAGATTAGGAAAATACAGCAAAGCAGACGGAGAAAGGACCCACAGGCCACGACTGGCTGCTCACGGGCAGCAGAGCAGGACTGCATGGAGCGAGCGCTCTTCCTGCTCGGCCCTGACTCTGCTCTCCGAGGAAAGGAAGTGCATCTAGTCTAGGACCCATCACACTGCTAGAGAGGTTACAAACTGAGACCTCACCAATCTCCAAGAGTAAAATTATCAATATTTTACATAACATTTAAAGTAGCAGAAACTTAATTTTGCTTCCTATAAGAAAAATAATCAATGTATACATTTTAGGGCTTATCACTACAGTTTAGGATAATCTCTAAATTATGACTTTTCCTCCCTTTAGATATACAGGGTTTTTTAAATTTTGCTATTTACTATATTTAAGTACATTCAAAAATAAGACAGTCTCTCAAAAGTGTCACTTTATCTAACACAAATAGTAAAAACTCCATCATTTGGTATTTATCACCTTTGACAAATACAGTTCACTTTAACCTGTGAAATATGTTACCCGAATCCAGTTCACGCCTTCAGTTCTTTTTCAGTTCTTGGGAGTTCACTGTTAAATTACTCTGAAGGAGGTATTTTTTAAATCTTCTGAGATTTAAGCAATAGGCAATGAAATATCTCTGGAGTTTGACCAACAAATTTAAAACCAGCTCAACCTCAGCCATTTGCTACTTAAACAATATTAATTTCCACATAAAAAAATAACCTAATTAGACTTTATTGTACCTGTTGGTCTTTTAAAAGACTTCTTCATTCCCCCATTAAAAATTAACATGAAATTCATTTTGGAGAAGCAAATATAAGAATTTTCTAGATATTACTAAATGGCATTCCGTAAGAAAAAAATTTATATAGACTAACAATAAACCATTCAGATGAGAGAAAATATTGACAGTTAAAACTAGTTTGGTGTCTCTTATTCACAAGATCACTTGTCCACTTTACAGAGAACTAATCTAGAGTGGACGCAGCACTAGATGAGGAGGCCCATCCTTCTGCTCTGGTCACTCGGAGGAGGGTCTCTTCCAGAGGTGAAGCGCCGCCTGCATCCTGAAGTGCAGCCTGGACTCCAACGAGTAATCTTTGTAGTTGTTTCTGCAGACGACAACAACAACACTGGCGGTCAACACTGCTCTGTGCAGCAGGCCACCCCCTCCCCTTACTCTCCACGGCCTCCTTGACTACTTTTCAACTTTCATATGCCTGCCAGTGCACCTCAGCGTGCTTCCAACGGGGAGATGAGGCACCGCGTCTGCATTTCCGAAAGCTTCCTGTGGTGACTTACAGGACATCCTCTGAGTAGGAACATCCTGCTCTGTTACCAGACCACGCATAAACACCGAGGTCAGGAGGTAACCCTAGCAAGCTTGGTGAAACACTTACATGGTTTAACTTCCGTGAGTTGGAGGCTAATAAGGCAGCCTCATACAAAAAATGAGTATGATCTACCATTCAGAAAAGGAAACAACACTGTGAAACCCTCACGAAACAATTATAACAAAGGCAGGACTATTTAGTGACATCACAATTCTCACATGCAAATATCAACGGTCTGACCAACAATTTCATAGCAGAAGAGGCCATAGAAATCCAAAGATTATTTTAAAACTTGATTTTACAGCATTCATGTTGACCTCCTTTTCTGTAAGATTCAGCAACACGAACAGCTTCGACTCTGCTCCCCGCTCTCCTACTCTGCCGGGCTAGGAGGCGCGAACCTTCTCCATGGCCACAACACTTATTCTTATAGTGTTTCACTTTCAACAGACGTAAGGGCTACTTACTAGTAACTCAGATGAGTTAGCAAATGTATTATTCATAAACTAAAGTTAAGATCTTATAAAGCTTACCGAAGACTGTAACCAACTATTTTCTTAAACATCTGGCCACCCATTTTGGCAAAGCTAAAAGGGAAACTGCAGGTAACATTCTTCAAATTACTAGAGAGCACAAGTTCGTATTCTCAGCACTTTTTTGGGTCAGCGTGGCTTTTGGTTACTTTTTAATAGGAATAATTAGTCTTTCACTTTTTCATCGTACCTTATTGTGCACTTAATGCACTGAAAGTGCCCAAATATTTGGGACAACAGCATTTGGACTCATTTTCCAATGTCCACATTTGAAGATACATTGATGCTCTCGTTAAAATCTTGGTCATCCTCTTGCTTGACAAACACACTCAAAGTGACTGTTCACACACACACACACACACACCTTTAATCGGCCTTCAGCTGGGCCGTCCCCCAGCTTCTGCGCTATCAGCTGCTGCACTTCCTATGCAGCGCACATCCCGAAAGTGTCCCGACAGTAGCTGCCACACCTCTCCTCGCCTCTGTCCAAGTCCCCACAACTTCCTTACCACTCCGTCCAGTGTCCCTTCTATGTGCCTGAGCTCCCTCCTGCAGCCGTCGTAACTCATCATTCTTACCTTTTCCAATCACTTGGTTTCCCTAGATGTCTTCCTAATTCTACTTAATCTTGTTAATAAAACTTTAATCTTAATGTTATTGATTAGCCTCCAAAATGACGGCGTACCCCAGGCACTGTGCGATACCTTCACCTCGGGCTCTACAACCCTCCCCAAACAGCTCCATCAAGCGTGGCGGTTGTATCACTGTCTTGGTGCTGGGAACTCTGGAATCTCCTGTCTTCATCCTTCTACTAAACTCCTCGGCGTGTATCTATCAACTCACCACCTTGACCCCGGAACCTATGAGCAATCTCAAAGCATCAGCGTGCAGAGAGAAACATGCTTCTTTCCTTCTCCACCCTGTTCTTCTAAGTATTTCCCAACTCAGTAAAAATATCATTGTCAACCTAATGGTTCAAACCCACAATTCAAAGGTCCCCCAGTGGTGGCTTTTGCAGGAATGCTCTCCACCCAGTTTTATGACTACTTTTTTTTTCTGTGGCTGGTTCAGCCCGTGCTGGACGTGGTGCTGGGGATTGAACCATGGTCCCTGGGCTTGCCTAAGCTTGCCTAAGCAGGTGCTTTAGACAGCTGAGCTATCTCACTGCCCCTTTACGGTGACTTCTGATGATTGTCTCAAAGCCAGTTTTAATTATGCAATTGTCCAGTACAGTGTCATCTCAAGGAAACTTTCCAGAGCCAATCCAATCTAAAGTAACACTTAAGTACCCTTCTATGGAGCATATAAATTTCTACAAAACACAAAGCACTGCTATTTTTCTTCTTGACTGTTTGGTTATTATCTCATTTCTGGCTAAGACAGCAGAAATGCTGGCTATTCACTTTACAGCTGCCTCTCTAACAGCCTTTAGAATCTAACACAATGGTCGTCCACTGAGTATTTGCTGAATCTGAAGACATGAACAACTACACTATTTATAACCTAGAATTCTGATGGTCTTCTTTCTCCACTTCATGAAGTGCCCAAAGCAAACAGAACATGGAGTGTTTGCCTCACCCAGCTGGGCCATGACCACAGTGTCTAAGAGCCACTGTCTACCAGAAATGACAAAAACCCTTGAAATCTTCCACAGTGAACAGAAAAAGAGAATATTCACAGGGTGGGGCACTAACAGGTTGAAAACAGCACAATTATAGCAAACCCAAGAGTATAAACACTTGTAAATTAGAAAAGGTAATAAAATTATGAATTCTATACTGGCTTTTTAATGTTGCAGTTTTCAGTTGCATTGAGAGATTTCATCTACTAAAGAACATTTGGTTATTTAAAAACATCCCTGGACTGTATGATTTCCAACTCTGAACTGTGGAAAAAATCAAGAGAATCCTTTTCTTTTAAAAATCCACATAATGAAATCCTAACAATCTACCCCACATTGAAGTGGAAAAATATCCAAAAGGAGCAGCTTCAGCTTCAGTCAGGTGAAAATGCACTATGAAGATTGTTCACCTTTGCTGCATTTGGGGTTTATGGTTATTTAGTAACATTGTTTAAGACCTACTGGGTCTTAGTGCAATCTTGCATTAAAATATAATTTATACTACGTGAGAAAACATGACCGAACTTATTACTAGGAACCAGAGACCAATCATGGATTTTTTGTGTTTCATAAAAAAAGAAAAATACCTTAAAAAAAAAAAATTTGCAGTGTTCCGTGTCCCTCTGGAGTGACACTCCTAACTCTGTAACAGCCAGGAAAGGCGTCTTCATCCCTTACCTTGCGGTTTCAAGGACCTTTATGGCTTTGTCAATCTCTCCTTGGCTTTTATATAAAAAGGCCAGCTCAAATAGAGTGAACGGCACTAGGTAGTGGTCATACTTCAGCAGCTTTTCACTGAAAGAGCAAACGGAAATCAATTAATCTTAACAGAATAAAAACCACATTGTTTGTCCAAAACTTCTCATTCCTGAGAAAACAAGCATATCCTTAAGCCCATTACCAGCAAAACAAAAGCTGCTGTTACACAGTTCTGAACTACAGCATAAACAGTGTGCTTCTGTTGTTGTTGCTGTTGTTGTCTGAGTCAGGGTCCCACTACGCAACTCAGGCGGCCTCCAATGCACAGCAGCCCTCCTGCCTCAGCCTCCTGAGTGCTAGGTTCACAGGCATCACTAGCGTGACTGGCAACAGTATGTTTTTAATATATTAATCATTATTCCTTAATCTAAATATAGTACAGGTGGTTGTTCACGGAATACATGCAGATCTTCCAGGAACAATCCTCAACGTGACACCACCACCTTTCTGAATGTATGTTCAGTGCATCTGTAAGCAGTATTACTGCACTGTTCTAAAGTTATCCCCTTTGTATTTTAAAGTTTTACAATGCTTGAAAAGATCATAATGGTTTTGTTTTTGGCTTCATTATGAAATGCTCAGCTATAAACATCTAGAGACTCTGGAAAAAGTAGGAATAACAACTTTCAAGTGCACCACTTAGCTTGGGGAACATAAGACAAAACAGAGCTACACCTAACACAGGCCAGAACTTTAGGTACGTGGGACAAAGCTGGCTGAATCCTGGGGTCACTCCCACCTGAGGCAGGCAGAGCCCTGCACCCCAATGTCCACGCAGGAGATGAGGCCCTGGGCAGGTGGCTGGAACTCAGTCTCTGTTTAAAGCTTGGGTCTTGGAGCACCTACAGCAGTATTCCAGAAGACAGGACAGTGGTCTCTCTGGCCTGTACTTTTAGTGAGGATGGGGGGTGGAGAATCCAACACATTTCTTGGGAAGTCGATAGCCAGTAAGTTGCAATTCAAATTTACATTGTCCAAATAATCTAAGAGCTACAAGCAATGAAATTAATATGAAAGTTGTCCAGGGATATAAAAGCCTTTAGGACACTTGGTGGAAATAAAGTTACATTTTAGAGACTCTTTCTCAATACTGACACAGAAATCTGAAGATAAAACCCCAGTGAGAGTGAGTTCACAATCTAAAATCACAAAACATGTGAACAGATAATTCACTGATTTAGTAAATGTGATGAACAGCAAGAATGGGTCATGATTCTGACTGGCCTTTTGGTTCTTATAAAGTCACCAAGAAAACAGAACGGTGAACACACTTCCTGAACATATCTACTAAACACAGCGTATCCCTTATTTGGGGAAACGGCACTACTTTTTTCTTCTTCTTACACCAGCACCAGTCCTCCTGTGTGCCCCTTACTATTGTCAGGAGGAGCAGATAGGAGGCTGTGAATGAGAGGCACTACAGACAACAGGATGCTGACTGCAGTCTATGGCTGTTGTCTTTTTAGCTTGCACAGTGTCTTAAAAAATTGTGCACCAATATTTAAAAATCATAAGATTTTACATTAAATCTAGCTTAGATTGGAAAAACTACCTCAAGCTTACTCAGGACAGTAAGGGCTCTGTCACTGGGCTCACATCATCAACTGGACCTTTTGAGTACAGAGAGCGCACAATCTCCCTAACCTACAGTGCCACCAATGTCCCTGCCCACCACCATTCAGCCTTTCTCCCTCCGGAAGCCTACTTCTCTGGCCTTGAGATATTTCATTTGCAACTAAGAGAAGAGGGCCAGATGTTTGACCCTTGCTCGACTCAACTCCATGATTAGTAATGGAGTATGACATCATCACTGCTACTGGGGAGAAAAAAAGGTCTACACAGAAGAATGCCTTCTGCCAATTAAAAAGCAGGTGCTTGTCACATTCACTCAGATCTGAACCCCTAGGACCCAGCACAGTCTCTGACATACCATGGGTACTCAAATATCTGCTGGATATCTGAATGGATTAAGAAAAACTAAACGCATAAATTGAAATAGTGCCAGAGGCTCAATACAGCACTGCCACTTTGGAGAAGCACCTGCTAGCCAGGCCATGAATTCATCTCTAAACACCAAGTACTGCAGAAATGCATGCTTCATTTAGACTACACTTTTGTTCATGAAGAATAAAGAAAGCACTCCTGGTTTCTCCTTGGTCACACCAAGGAGACGATGCTGTTTAATCGCTAACAGCATCGTCTACCACTGTCCTGGAATGCTTCCCCGGACCTGCATTCGGGCTGATGCTGCCTGCTTGCTCTTACCTTTCCACAACATGATTGAAGCACAGCTCAGCTTGCAAGGGCCGCTGTAAGCTCTTGAGGCAGCAACCTTTAAGTAGCTTCACAATGCACTCATCGTCCATAGAATAATCACTGAAACCTTAAACAAACAAGAACACAGAATGTGAAAGAGGTTTGCTTTCTCCTTTTTTCTCCAGTACTAAGAACACAGTCTAGGGCCTCACACATGCTAGGTAAATGGTCTACCACTGAGATAGCTACACCTAGCCCAAAAATACTTTAAAAATCCTAATTACGAAGCAACACCTATTCACTTCAAGGGGATCATTTAAAATAAGAAAAATATTTTTAGCATTTATTATGTATAAATTAAAAAATGCTGAATTTACTGTATTAATATACCACTGTATCATGGAATCCACTTAAATTTTTTTTTAAATTTTTTTTTCAAGTGATCACACTCCGAGTTTTTTAACCTTAGATATAACAACAGGGATTCTGAGCTCTAAATGGAGAGCTTTATTCATTTTATAAAAGGTAAAGCCAGGAAGCACAAGAAAGCTGCCTCCTCCTGTTGTTCTGCTTCTAACTGTGTTGGCTTCAGTGCAGGAGAGAGTAACACTTCCATATGGAGAAGCAGATGGCCTTATTCCCATTAAAAATTCAGGAAGGCGAACGCCCTCTCCAGATCGTTATGTTTACAGCTTATCAATTCTCCCAGGTTATGTTCTTTTGGGGGGAAATTATGTCATAAAATTAGACAAAACAGCTCTGAAACACATGAAAAGCATGTAAAATCCTCACAAACTTTTAAATGCATGTGAGTTTTAAAGTAAAATACATTTTTCAGCATTTTTCTCTTTTAAAAACAACTCTCTGCCTTCTACAGCTCAAGCCAAACACCATGTGCGACATCTGACAAAGGTGGTCACTCCACATTTGCCACTTCTGAAGGTTTTTCCTCTTTTCTTTCTTTTCAAGTTACATGCAACTAGAAAGTCACTTCAAGAATGCTAATTCACACACTTCAGGGCAAGACACAGGGGGAGCGGCAGCCAGGGAACTAAGGAAGGCCCTCAAAAAGAAATTCTCCCATGTTAATACAAATCCCCAAAGCACCAGCAACACGTATTGCTGTTCTGTGTGGTAAACTGCTTATCTCTGAGAATTTCACTGTTATTTAGCTAACCACAAGAAAACAGCTGAGATGCACCTCTAGCAAGTACTGCCAGGTAATATATTAAGAAACATCAGGTACCAGCACCACACCCTCTTCCTGTTACTTACTGAGGATAGTTTTTAACCTCCCCAAATTCATCTATATTTAAAACTATGGATGTTTGTTGACATATATATCTAAGAAGGAATGTCTTTCAGAGGCTAGATCAAAAGCCCTGAGAGTGCATCCTGGATGCTGGTTATTAGCGTCATTTTCACGCATTCTATTGAGTTGCGCATAACATTTAATTGACAGTTTGTGTTATGACAACATTCTGTTGCTCACCAAAAGATTTTTGATGAGGAGCAGACACAGTGCTGTAAAGCCACATGTAACTTATGTAAAGCTTGAGCTAGGAATATGCCAAATGAGTTTTTCTTTTAAATCTACACTCCCCTAAAAACCTTAAAAGAAAAAGCATTGTTCCCTTAGACCATAATTTTTCAGATGATCATTTTCCCTAAAAATATATATGCTTTATCATGATTCTTAACCTCATGAAAGAATTCACAGATGAGGATTTCTAGTTGCCAGCTTTTATTAGAAGAAAATTACATGATAATGCTATCCAAGTAGAGCTGAATCACAGAAACCTGGCAAATTCAGTAAATTGGTGGGTAGGCTGAGGAAAAGGGAAGTTTGCAGGCCGAACTACTAAAAAACCTATTACAAACTTATAAGAAATTAACCGAAATGAATGAAGAAAAGATGTGAATATAGATTTACAAAGTGAAAAGTCATCAAAGCATTAGCACTTTTCCTTTCATGTAACTTAGTTATATTTGTTACATAATTTCACCAAGCAAATTAACTTCCACAAACAGGCAATGCAGCAGAACCCTGCACCAGCATCTGGATACTCAGGAAATTTAGTTAGAATTCAAGTGAAACACCACAGGCACAGCAAATCCTGACTCTGGGCATGGTACCAAGGCAGAGTTCTGTCCTTTGTCTCAGGGACTAGCCCTAAGGGCCAGAGCACGGCCAGAGCAGAGCAGTCCTGTCCTCTACCATCTTGAGGCCCACTTCAGACCCATCTGCCAAAGCTAGAAGTAAAAGCATTCCATCTGAACCGTGGGGTGCAGAGCAGGCAGAAGCCAATGCAACCCCAGTTCACAACGTCCACCCATCTGCCACGTATGAGCTTGCTTCCCCTAATTTGAAGGACAGGAGATAAACTGCTAAAAGGTCGAAGCAGGCCAGGTCTGGCTTCAAGTGCTACTTTTAGTATGAGAAGGCGGTATTATTCACCCCGTATCAGCAGATGAACCGTGTGTGTAACGCTTCCTGCAGTGGGGTAGATCACCTCTTCCCTTGGACATGCCGATGACCATGAGAAGAGGAAGAAGGGTTTGTGGTCACAGAACTGCACTGCCCACTTTGTTCTAACTGATTCTTTGGCAAGCTGGTCTGGAAACCCTGAGCCAGTTAGCAAGGAAGGCCATAAATCCAACTTCCATTCATATATATATATATATATATATATATGCCTCTCTTGATGAAATCTGATGCTGGGATTATTTTAAATGGGAAAAGCAGTCTAAATATCCAACAAAACTCAAGGATGGATTAAATTATGATACGTTACCTCCATGGAATGCTATGAAGCTTTTGAAATTTATAAAGTCCATTTACCAAAACCAGAAACATTCATGTCTTAAAGGAAAAAAGGACAGACTGGTATATATACAGACACCCTATGTTTGTAACTGCAAAAATAAAGCCAAGATGGAAGACACAAAAATTCTAAATTGTGCTACAAAAGAAAAGTATGGGCGACCTTTTCCCATTTATACCTAAAAATGATAATGTTGCGTTTAAAAAAGTAAGTGTAAAGAGAAGTCTCACTAAGTATTTCCGCTTGTTAAGAAAGTCATCAGAACCAAAGAGATTAAAAACAGTCCTACTCCCTGGCCACATTCAAGGGTGTAAAGCCCTCTGGGGGGCCATGCCGAGCAAACTGAGGGACCTGCCAACGGTTTGCACGAACCATTCCTGGGCTTCTGTGCCCTTTACTGGGTTCATCACCACAGACGTTTTCATTGTACTTCTTCCTACGGTCAGAACCTCTCTAAAGACCCATGATCTTGGGAGCGTATTTAAATTACTTGGCACTGATGAGAAACACAGCAAAGGCTACTACTGCTGGCAGTGCACCAAAACATAAAACTTCTTAGGAAAAAACAGAATCAGACATATCAGAGCAAGAAAGCAAGTTTAGGTATCACTAGCCCAACGCCGTCCCCATTTCAAAATAGTTCCCCAAGGGCCTGAAGGCTGCAGGGCTCGCCCCAGACCCAGACAGCCTGGCTTTCCTTCTGCTTTGTCAGCCGCCTGCAGTCACCTGGGGAAGGACCTCTGCCACCCTGAACACGAGCACGTGCCTGGGGAACCACCAGACACGCGGCAACAGCCCATGAGAGCCAAAAGCAAACGCGCATGTTCCGGCGCTGCTCTCCCTCCTCAGGGCCTGACGTCCTCCCTTCATCTTTCTCCTAAGTCCTCAGACACAATTCACACACCATACAGTTCACAGTCTCGAAGGACACAATTGTGTCTAGTACATTTACAGAGTAGCGCAGCCCCCACCGCAACTCATCTGAACATTTCATCCCCTCTTCAACAAGTCACTGTGCCCTTCAGCTACCACAGCTCCCTCCCAAGTTCTCCATCCCTAAGTCCCTAACCTGCGACCTCCTTCTGTCTTTAGGCACAGTCCACGCTGGAGGTGTCATACACAAAGGGTGGTACACGGTGTGCTCGTGGTGAGGGTCCCCTGCACCCCGCTGCCAACACCCACGCGTTACACAGAACACTCACTCCTCTTTCACCTCGACGCTCAGACTCTGCAGCTCGAGCTCTTTAGTCCTCATGGTGACAGAAACTGCCATGGACACGCACGTGGAAAAGGAAGATTAAGGGTGCTGCTTACTGTCCATACTTACCTTCATCTTGTAAAGCTGCCTCGGCCTTCTCAACGGTTACCAAGAGGCTTTCACAAAGGTCTTTCCTTTTCCCCACTATCGAAAAGCCATTCCACACATACATCATTTCCTAGTGAGGAAGAACGAAAAGCCATCAAGGTTACTTAGTCTACGCACCCTCCTAGATGACCACAGCAACCGCGCAGGCCCCTTCTGCCTCGGTTGCTAGGGATGTCAAGACTCCACAGAGATACTGCATCTTCACTGCATCTGGAGCTTAGTGATATAACTTCCCATTCTTTAGATTATATGCTTTGTCTTTTATACATTTTATGTTTTTACTGAAAATTGATTCACTTTTAATATTTAAGTATTTCTTAGTATTATATTCTTTTTGAAACAGAATACAGATATTTAAAAAGTAAACGCAGTGCTGGGATGTCACTCCGTGGACAGTCAGCACGTGCCTAGCACGTGCGCATGCCCAGGCGCACACACACATGAAGCTAATACACTTTATGCTGATGCTGAACAAATCTATTACATATAAATTTTTGTTACCTTTAAATAAAAGAAAATATTTTTAAATGTCTGCCAGTTGTTTATATGAAATGTTTCCAAGCATATCACTGGAAATGAACATTGCAGCATTTTACTGGGCCCAGGTCCTTTTATACCATTAAAAACATGTGTTGGTCCAGTACTGCAAACCAATACGCACAGAACACACTCATTTAAAGGCCATATGGCTGAATGACAGCTTCTGAAAATGTAATGATTTCTCATTGCAGATTATATTTAATGGACTCGCAGATGAGAATTTTTTTTGGACCAAAAGCAAATGTGCTTTTGCCTGAAATTATTTTTATAATGCTCCTGACAGTGCAGTTTATATTTGAAGAGCAAGCACTAAGCAGGGCAATTAGTACCTTCTTGGGAGTAAATGAATTTTAAGGGAAGCAGTCGGAATGAGGAAGCCACGTCCAGGCAGGGTAGCAATAACTTCACTGTACAGCACCGAATGCTAAGATCCCAGCGTGGGGCAATTTCCTACTGTTCATTTTACAAGGGACAACTTCTTACACGACCAGAAAAAGGGTTCAATTCAATACCATTTGGGTATTTTGAATATCCACTTTGGAATCCTTTAAAGTTGATGGTGATGATTTTTTTAAATACTTTTCTTGATGGGCTGTTCTATCAGAAAGAGGCCAGTGCATGGCTAAGACCTTAAGAACACAGACTGGCGGTGAATTCCTGAGCAGCACCACCTCCAGCCATTCTTGTTTCTCTCCCAGCAACACTTGGGGAAGGAAGTACAGTCAAATTAGACCTTTCTTAAGGCCGCCAGTGGCCCAGGCAGGAAAAGCTACGTGCACACTGGTATCAAGCACTAGTGCACGCAGAGAACTGGGTGCGTTAGACACTTGTCTGGAAAGTTACATGAGACAGAAGAACTTTCCCAGCGAAATTCAGCTTGACATGAATGAAGAGTGGAACTGAAGCTAACTGGTAAGGGGGCGGCAGCGTCTTCCCATTAGTTGGTCCCTGCTGTCCCCTGCCCAGGGCCCTTCATCTGTGCTCGACTGGACAGCACAGCAGCCGCACTTTCGCCTTACTCTGTCAGAGTCAGAGTCACAGACAGCCTGGCCTGCAGGCAGTGTTCTCTGGAACTGGGGACATTAAGTGGGGAACGGCTGGGCCAAGGCGCCAGGGGCAGGCGGCGCTCATCGGACACCTGTCAGACCGGCATCTTCTGTACTCACAGAATGCTTGCAAGCTCTGCAAGTCCGTAACAAAATAAGGAGCAAGAAAAGTTAAGAAAAGACATGAGCAACAGTTACAAATCAAAAATTAAAATGAACACATGAAAAAGATGCTCAACAGCACCTACAAGGGAAATGAAAATTAGAGGAATAAAACACTGTAGGTACGGATTTAAATTGCTAGATCTTTTTGGGAGACAAATCTGGCAATATCTACCTAAATATACTCCTGCCAGAGATATAGCTCAGTGACATAAGCACCTGCCTGGCAAGCACAAGGTTGCGAGTTCAATTCTCAGTACCAATAAACAAACAGGGGCCGGGTAGAAGGCTCAGTGGAATAAGCGCTTGCCTGGAAAGCGCAAGGGCCTGAGTTTAATCCCCAGTTTGGCAAAAAAAAAAAAAAAAAAAAAAAAATCCTCAACCAGGAATTCTATTTTTAAAAATCTTCCCCAAAGAAGTATATATAAATGGAAAAAAGTATATTGATTGTAGTGTGTTTGTAAAAGTGAAAAATAGAAAAACTTAACACAACCATCAAAAGAGAATGATTAAACTGTGGAGATTTTTTTTTTTTTTTTAAGTCTTAAGAGGACAGCAGACGTTGGCTTTAACTGACTAGCTTTTCTTTACCGACTACCTTCACAAAAACTAAAGTCCCTGAAAACGCCTAGTAATTTGATAAACTTAGTGTTTTGTTTTTTGGGTTTTGGAGGGGTTTTTTGTACCAGGAATCGAACTCAGGACCTTGTGCTTGCCAGGTAGGTGCTTGTGCTGCAGAACTACATCCCCAACCCCTACTTAGTGTTTTTAAAGGAAGACATTATTAAGAAAATTTTTTGTTGAAATCATAGTTTTCACAGAGGCCTTGCCTGGAATGGCTAGCGGAGGGCTCCAGGTGGCAGAGCAGCCACCAGCCACGTGGGCTTGGGCAGCAGAAGCCCTGAGACCCTGGAGCAGTGGAAGACACGCTGCACTTCCAGGAGGTGGGTGGCCCAAGGTAGGAGGGTGGGAAATAGCTCGGAACACGTGTTGAAAAGGTATTTGTTGAAATGGCACACTGGGTTAAACAAAATATAATCTTCAAATTATTTTGGGCTCTCTTTCACTTTTTTAAAATATGGCTACTAGAGAAGGTAAAATTCTATTTACAGCTTCCATTATAATTCACCTCAAATTCAGGGATGTCAGATTCACCTCCCTCTGCCTGAATGCCCTTTTCTGTGAAAAGGACTACCACGACTGCATTCAGAGTTGTTATAAGAACTAAGTGACAGCCGGGTTCAAACAGCTTTTATCATAACGTCTATGACTAGACAATGAACTTGGATATAATTTTAATTATTTGTTAATTTTTTTATAAATGTTTACCTCAGGAAACCTAGAATGGTTTTTGAGTTAATCAGCCGCTCAGTAACATGCTCTCTGCGGCTCTAAGCTGGTGATTTATTTCTAACATGCAAACAGTAAATCAAAGCAGGTACCAGGGCTGGCAAGACGAGCTTCACGGGGGCAGCCAGGGAGGGGGAGTAGCGCCGAGCCTTCCTCACAGCAAACTTCTCAGTAGGGAGAGATTTACCGGCAATTCTCTGCTTCAAGCCATCCACCTGTCTGTGAAGATCCCCAGCCCCAACAAAAGGTTGGTGAACACGTCCATTCATGTGTGGTACTGGGGATTGAACCCAGGGCCTATCGTCTGAGCTGTACGCCCATCCCTTTGCATTTCCTTCTCTGAGCAAGCTCGCGCTAGGCTGCCCAAGCTGCCTCAGCCTCCTGCGGTACGGGGTTACATGGTGCAGCACTACCGCCCGCCGGCAGACACGGCTTGCTTGCACCTGGGTTCTTATACTGCGGCACATGAACAGCACCCAAACACCTGGGAACCTGGAGCTGAGCATTCTCGGGTCCTACCCCAGGCCCTCGAAGTTGGCAGCAAGCTGGCTTCTGATACGGCCTGCATGTGATCCTGGGGCGCACTCGCGTGACTACCACTGACTGACATGCTTCATTCTAATGGGTTTAATGCTTACGTCTATAAAGCACATTCCAGGTAATCTTGGCATAAAATTGGCAATTGCCTTTAAAAAGCAGTACTTACTTGCAGTGTAGATACTCAGAAAAGCATACTGGTACATTTCTGGTTAGTGTCTGACACAGATCTATAGAATAATCTAACTCAAAAGATAACCATCAATTAATGCATAATTTGAGAAAAATGTTTCTCAAGTAAAGGTGATTTCAGAAGCAATCAGCGCATGACATGTACTATACTTACAAACTTCTCAAACTGTAAGGAATCCCATTATGAAATTCATAAGGGATGTGGGCGAACAGACTGGCGTAGAGCACTTGCCTAGTGTGCCTGAGGCCCTGGGTTCTATCCCCAATATTGTTGAAAGAAAAAGAAATTTATAAGCACATTAAAACAGAAGTATGATGAGAAGATTACATGTTACAGCAGATATTTTCTTGCATAACTGCATATTATGATGCATCAAACAGGCTGGTAAGAAAAGATGTGAGAAATCTAATCACATCACTGAGAGAAAAGAGGATTAACCATGAGGGAAAAAATTCAGCTTAACTGCAGTAGTAAGACCTCCATAGTAAAACTTTAGATGATAATAATAATAACAAGAATGCGTTCACAAAATTCCCAGTCACACAAAATTCTGCTGCAGGGCTGGAGATGTAGCTCAGCAGCACAAGCATCTGCCTGGCAAGTGCAAGGTCCTGAGTCCAAGTCCTGGTATCAAAAAATTTTAAAAGACAAAATCCTGTTCAACAGTGACACTTTGACTCTTAGCTAAATATACTGTTTTAAGGATTTGTACATCAATTAAGTAGAGAAATTAAAGAGACAGGAAAGGAAAGCAAGAAAGCACTACAGAAAAGAAGACACATGCGTACATCTTCCTACAGCCAGCGTCTTCACTGCAGGAGGTGTCCCGCTTACCTGAACAGGGTCACCACATTCTCATTGGCTGCTAACACGTCCTCCTCTGGAAGCATACTCAGAATTGCAGCTTTCAGGAACACATATGTTGCCTTGAGGAGAAAAAGAAAAGGAGCGTGATAAAGAACACGACACTTCTATGTGCAAATCAGAAACAATCTCTAACTCTTGCAGATTTTGTGTGATGCAATGTTAAAGAAATACAAAGAAAATTTTACTGTCTGTTCCAAATGAGGATAACAGCTTTCAATTAATTTAGAACACTTTCCTATTATACTCAAGGATGAGAAAGTGAGCAGAATGAACAAAAGATCGTTATCTCATTCTTCCCAATGTTTCACAAATGGATCAAATTAATTTTAATTATCACAAAAAGTCTGTCTACAAAAAGTATCGAGACCACATACTGATATGTAACAATGGTAAATACAAATGAGTTCCTCTTTAGAATAAAATCTCTGCGTTAGAAATTCTTTGGATGGCTCTTAAAGTATGCCGTGCTGAAGACTGTGCCCGTGACTAAGCAGTCAATGCTCACTGGACTACTAAGTACCCCGAAAAGCACTACTTCTATGCAGAGAAGAGTGCCGACGTCACACTGCTGAACATGCATCTCAGGTCCTTACTAGCAGATAGAAGGCACCACGCTTTACCTTGGACCATTTACTCTCTTTGCAAAGGAGATCGGAATAGTAATATGCCTGCATCCAGTTTTGTAGGAACACGTTGATCCACATCAGCTCCCAGTAGCAGAGGTGGTGAAACTGCTTCCATTCTTCCTGAACTGAAATGCATTTTCGAAATATCTCTTGTGCCTGTAAGTCAATTGAAAAAAGCCCATCATCCAGCTATTAGACAAGGACATAACAGCCACATGGAAAAATGCATACAACACTGTGTACAAAAAGAACAAAATCAGACCCAGAGCGCA